CCCCCAGCAGCAGGTGTGCTCCTCCAGGCTCGGGCACAGGGCCGACCCTGCGAGCTGTGCGCAGCCTCAGTGCAAGGGGAACAGGCTCCCGCAGGGCCGTCCGTGAGCCTCACGGGTCACACGACAGCTGGTCAGACAAGGAAACTGTCTTCAAAGCAACCAATAACTTCTAAGTGAGTCCAGGATCTAAGAAGTAACCATGGAAATTAGAATACATTCTGAACTGAATGGCACATCAAAACTGCATATTGCGCCCTTGCTGGTTTGGCTCAGTGGATAGAGCATCCGCCTGGGGAATGAAGGGTCCCGGGTTCGAGCCCCAGTCAAGGGCACATGCCTAGGTTGCGGGCTCGATCCCCAGTAGGGGGCCTGCAGGAGGCGGCCAATCAATGATTCTCTCTCATCATTGATGTTTCTCTCTCTCTCTCTCCCTTCCTCTCTGAAATAGCAAAACAAAAACAATACTGCACGATGCCGAACCAAAACCCACCTGCAGAGAACTTATGGTCTCAAACGCTTATGTTAGAAAAAACCAACTAAAATCGTGTGTCTCAAGGAGCTGGAAAAATAGTAAATCAAACCCAAAGAAAACAAAAGGAAAGAAATAAAAAGAAGTCACTGAAGTAAAGTAAGTGCACAATACGGGTAAACAACAAAACAAAAGTTTGTTTTTTTAAGGAAGCGGGGAGGGGGAGCCTCCTACACTACACAACCAGGGGACGTGGCTGCTGGCTGAGCGGCCTGGCGGGCCCCAGCGAGGCAGCCATGGAGCTCGGGGACACACCCACGTGCCAGCTCCATAGGTGCCAGCTCCATAGGTGCCAGCAGGCTCGAGGAGGAGAGAGAGCAAGTGGCGATGGAAGCCCTCACACGGACAGTGCGCGGGCACCAGCCCTGAGCCCCACAGCTAGTGGGTGAATCGTGCGGTACGTGGACTACCTCTCTGTAAAGCTGTTCCCGAGGAAACAGACGAACTGGTAAACCCTTGCAAGAAGAACAGACCTGCTCTTGGACAAGACGGGAAGAAGGCACCGCAGTCAGCCGACAGCGGCCCCGGGAGAGAGAGCAGGTCGAGTCTGCAGGGAGGACCTGCCACAGGGCAGCAGCCGGACGGCCACCACAGACCCGAGCCAGAGACAGCCACCGCCCAGGCGGCTCACTGCGTCTCCCCAACGAGGAGCA